CAACACCACTGAACCATTTTTGCTTCTGTCTCTCAGTAGAAAGCAATATAATAACTGATGGGGGGCGGGGTCAGGAACCCTAGGTTCTAGTTCCAGAACCTTCCCTGGAAGACCCTGCTGAGCCTCTGTTCCCCACCAGTAGGGAAGGCTGTTGGACTGGTTCTCTCTTAGATCCCTTTGGTGCTCACTTGACCAGGTCAAGCATGTACCTTCCCCTGGTGCATCAGGGATGCAAGGATGGGCCTCCTTGCCTCTCGATGTCCCCCTCCCCTGTCACCTGCCTGGCCCTCTAGCCCTGCCCACCTCCCAAATGGACATTCCAAGCCTCACCACTGGCTTTTTCTCTGGTCCCCTCAAGAGTTGGGAAGAGAACCCCGTCTCCCAGGGCAACAGAATTCCAGCATTTAACTTTTTCCTCTGCAGAACAAGGACTTGTGAAAATCCTTTCCATCTCATGATGACCCCACTTTCAGAGGACTGGCTGTGGCCCTGAGATTTAGATTGGTCTCTGTCGGGGAAGGAGCCATGAGACTGTCTCCGTAGGCCATTGAAAACAAGGTCCCCAAAATGACAGGCTTCCTCAAGGTGCCCAAGGTCCGGCTGCACCCAAATCACCCAGCTTCTCAGTCATGGAGCCAGGCTGCTTGGTTCAATCCACGCCTTCCTCTTCCCTGGGCCTTAATGTCCTCATCTGTAGAATGGGATGATGGTAGGACACAGCTCATGGCGCCACTGTGGAAAGCCACAAAGATGATGTGTATAAAGCTCTTGGCTCACAGCAATGCTTAGGGAGGAGAAGCTGTCTGTTTGTGCAGACCTCAGAGGGCTCTGGTTGTTTGGGCTGCGTGTTAAAACCCAGCTGGGTGGGGTAAGTGTTCTTGCCTCTGATTTGCTGTGTGCCTTTGGGGTTTCACAACCTTTCTGGACCAAATGTGCCTGGAATGGAGGAGCACAGTGGGACTTTGTCCTCCCACTAAGAACACTCTGAACTCCCCATTTGCTGCCTTGAGAATTTCCCCATCTCTGAGTGGGGGTTGGGCTATACATCACCCTCCCCTCCAGCCCCCCAGCGTTCCCATTCACTGGTGATGTCACTGCAGGGAGTCTGGGGAGACTGAGGCTCAGGGAAGAGGAAGGGGCTGGGCAGTGTGAGTGCCACTGTGGTGTCGGGCACATCCCAAGCAGATGCCTCTTCCTCTGCTCTGCAGACGCTGGGTAATTCACACTTGTGTGGACGCGTCATGAGCCTTCCACATATGCTGAGACAGCCGTGGGACTGTGCCCAACACCCACAGCGCTTCAGAAAATGCTGATCAGAGAAAGGACTGCATGGGGAGGGAGATAGGAGGGCTGGAGAGGCGAAGAGCTGGGGAAGCAGTTGGAACCTTCATGGGCCCTTCAGGAGCTGGAACAGGGAATGCACATGTGACCTAGCCTGTATAGACCCTTGGTCAGTCACAACTTGTCCTGGAGGAGCTTCCCCTTAGCTCAGAGCCTAGTAAACAGGTCCACAGATGCTGCCTGGGTCCTCCGCACACCACCCTGCAGAACTGGGGCTTCAAACTGAACCAGAACAAAGTACCACATAGAAGATGATGTGAAAGAGGGACCCAAGGCGAAGGGAGAGGTGTCTTCTATTTTGCAAGAGCCTGTGGGCACTCAAGCATCTCTTCCAGTGGTACTCACTAGAGACAGTGCTCCCTAGTGGTCAGTCCCATCCTGACTTGGGGGTGCCAGACCCCAGCTAGCAGGGGCAGAGCACCCACTGGAGGAGGTAAGAGCCTGGGCTTTGGAATTGGCCAGATCTCTGAGAAATCACTGTCCCCAGACTCCCGGGTCTGTCTGCAGAGTCCCTCTCACAAGGGCAAGGGCAAGGATAAAGAAGACAATGCTTGGGTGGCGCTGGCTCATTCAGTGCCTGCCACATAGTGGGAGATTTATCAACACCATCACAAACTAACATCAAGTCCAGGGCCACTTTCAAGTGGTCTCAGGGAAATTCATCCCCAGGAAATCACCTCTAGGGGTTTTGATGTTTAATGAGGTAGTTCTGGGCACCTCCTGAGGAAGCCTGTCATTTTGGGGACCTCTTCTTTCCATGAAACCAGAAAGATTTGCAGTTAATTATTAGTTATTTGGTGTGGAGTACTCGCTACACGCCAGACCCAGTTCTCATGGAGTGTCCTGCCCAGTGGGGTCTGCTCTGTTCTAGGCAATAGGGGTGATGGGGTTGGGAGATGAGATGACACCCAAATGTTAACATCTTACTATACATAAACTGAGTAGCATCACAATTATGGGATGGCACAGGAGGTGTTGAAAGCCACCAGTGAGTCCCAGATGGACAGAACATTTCATGGGGACTGTGAGTTCATGGTGCAGGAGAGGTTGCTGAGGGTGGAGAGACCAGGAAAGACTTCTTGGAAATGGACATTTACACAGGGCCCTTAGGAGACTCATGCTGTCTGTGGTTTTACTGTGAGCAGTAAACAGACCATGCGGGCCACTGGTTCTGCTACCTCACCTTGGTCTGAGTCAGGGGACTAGGAAGAAGCTACCTACTAGCTGAACTGGAAAGGGACGACCCCCACACTAGGGGACACAGGCCGATGCTGGAAGACAGGGTGAAGGTCAGGGCAGGGAACTTCGGTGTGGGGATGTAGCTGGGCAAGAGGCAGAGGTCACCTTAACTGGCCGCTTTCTGGGAGCATGGCTGTTCATCCATCGAAGGGGAGACCACCAACAGGCTGGAGGCTGCTGGCTGCCCCACGCCCCTCCTCTCCCATGCACTCAAGATGTTCTGGCTTTGGGACAGGCTGCCTGAATCACCTACCTGGAGCCCAGCTGTGGGTGCCTTTAGAAAGCACAGTCACGGGTGGGAGCTCAGGCTGTAATGCTGCTGCCAGGTTCTCTGATGTCACAAACCACTTGGCCTTTCCCTGGGGGATAGTTCCACCACGGGGGTGGGGCTACTGGCTACTTGCTTAGAGAAACTCACAGCGCTCACGCTCCTGTCCAGGCTCAAATCCCTTTTTGATCCTCTGCTCTCAGATCACCAGGATCTCAGTCTTAGCTCCATCCAGCACCAGCTAGGTGTGGTGCCTTGAGCAAGTCTCCGAGTCTTGGTTTCCTCTGTAAAATGCACATAATAATAGGCCTCCCTGCACAGGGTGGCTGATGGTGGATGAAATGATGAAGCTTGTCCAGAGCTTATCACACACTTGGGGCCCAACATGCCTGGCCACCTATCAGGGTGAGAGGAGGCCCAGGGGGGAGGCAGCACCCCCAGAACCCTTTCCCTAACCTTCTCTCCCCCACCTTCAACCTTCCCAGCCATGGAGCCTCCAGGGTCCCCTGCACTGTTTCCATCCAGCCACCACCTCCCTGTGGCCAGGAACACCAGGGCAGTACAGCCTTTTTTTCAGGTGCCCTGAGCCCGGAGAGCTTCTGGCCTGCAGAGTTCGAATGGCACGGGGGCAGCCCACCTGCAGTCGAGGCAAAAGCTGAACTACACTACCCAGAATTCCTGGGGATAGCCAGAAAGGAAATGTCGTTTTAACAAGGAGAGGTTCAGCTCCCACGGCAGCTGCAGGGAGCGAGAAGGAGGGGGAGGTGGAGGCGGGAGAGAGAGGGAGAGAGCTTACCAGGGGGAGGGAGGGCCGTGTGCTGGGAGCTAGGGTGGAAGAGCTTGGCGGGTCGGGAGGAGGAGGCGGCAGCTCGCTCGCCCGCCCGCGCCTACTGACCTGCAGCCCCGCGGGGCCCGCAAGCTGGCGGCGGTCCCTGCGTGCGCGGCGGCGCTCGGGCCGGGGCAGCTGCGGGCCGATGCCGGGGCCAGACCGGCGGAGGGGCTGAGTTTCTGCAAAGTTTGACCTGGTTGTCTTTCTGATGCTGCAGCAGAGCGAGGCAGAGCCGGGCGCGCCAGACGGCTGCGGCGCGGCAGCGGGGCTGACAGGCAACAGCACTCTCACAATGATCATAAAATAAACGACGCTAGCGGGGTGGGGGCGAGAGAGCCTCGAGCCTTAGCCCTCCGCCCCAGAACACCCCCAAGCAGCCCTGAGCTAGGAGGAGGTGGGGGCGGGGGGACGGGGCGCCTACGCTGGCCCCGGACCCCTGTAGAGCCAAAGGACCTTGCCCGGGAAAAGGGGTGGGGGTGCCCCGAGAACGTGTCCCTGGCGGGCTGAGCCGCCTAGCTGCGGGCGGCTGGGTCCGGGGCGTCCAGAGGGCGGCGGAGGGCAGGTGAGTCGGCGGCTCTGCCCGGGTGGGGGCGTGCGCGCCAAAGTTCCCCGGCCGCTGCCCGCGCGCCGGACGCGCAGGGAGCGGGGACCGCTCCGGGCTGGCGAGGAGGGACCAGAGGCGCCCGAGCGGACGGTGGCGGGGGTGTTGTGGGAATGGGGCACCGCGTCCTCAGGGTGCCGGGGAACGAGTCCCCGGACAGAGCGAGCGCCCGGTCTGGCTGGACTGGGGTGGGGCGAGGTACTGGGAGGGGGCGTCCGGCGCAGGCAGGGAGGTGGAGGCAACAGCAGTGCTGGGGCTGGCAAGTCCAGGCTGCCCACTGCAGTGCCAGCCGGTCGCCCCCCCACCCCACCCCCAAGCCGGGAGAGTGTCAGCGGAGATGTCACGGGTGGCGATTATTCGCTGGTGCGCGCGGTCGTGCGGCCGCCACTGACGGGGCGGGCGGGGGATGGGGGGGCGCCGCCTCCGGGTAGACCGCCCAGAGCTGTGCAGTCAGCTCCGCAGCCTGCGCCCCGCGCACACGCGTCGCCGCGCCCCCGCCGCCCCCCGCAGCAAAGTTCGGCTCAACTTTGAGACGGGCCCTGACGCCCTGTCCCTTCCACCTCCCACCAGATCTTCAGGCGGCAGCGGTGAACCAGGCGGCGGCAGCCCGAACGGAGCCCCGGGGCCCTCACGGAGACAGCGGCAGCGGCGAGGCAACCAACAGCGCGGCGAGCGCTCGGCGGCGGGTGGCACGCAGCGCGCCCACGTTGGGGCGTCTGGCCTGCGCCCCTGCCCACGCCTGCGAGTGGGCGCCGACTGGACCTGCGCTGCGCCGGGCTCCTCCGGGACTCCGCCAGCGGCCGGAGTCCGGCGCTCGCCTCGTGGAAGCCGCCGGTCGGCGCTCGCCACCGGTGGGGCTTGGATCTTCACTGATTGAACAGAAACTGCTCTTTAATTGATTCAGCTCCGCTGGGCGAGCGGCCGGGTGTGTGTGCCCAGGAGCGCGTGCGGAAGACAGAAGGGCAGGAAGTCGGTTTTCTGCAGGGAGGGTGGCAGGACCGCGCAGGCGACCGAGCCTTCCTTATTTATATGTCAGCCAGCAGTCGCCTTCTTCATCCGAAGACTTCGGGGAGCGTCTCCGACCCGCGTCCCCTGAGCGTGAGGCACGGAAGGGCTGGATGTCAGAACAACATGATTATCCATTAAACTCCAAACTTTCCTTTTTTAACCCAAAGAATATCGGTGATTTTTGTCCACTGCTAGGAGAAGAAGAGAGAGCCTAGAGCTCCTGAAATGCAGCAAAATTCTTATTTATAAACAGGCCCAAGGTAGTGATATGCAAAACCCCTCTACTCAGTAAATTTTCTATCCTATGGATATCGATCTTGAGCTTTGAGACTGGCGAGCCCTCTGCACTGGGTCCGGCAGCCTTGGTCCTTTCAATGCCTGGTCTTCCCTGGGATTGCTGGCCTTCCCTGGAGATCAGAGCCGTCCTCTGTGCCATGGGCTGTATTCAGAGCATCGGCGGCAAAGCCAGAGTCTTCCGGGAAGGTATCACGGTGATTGATGTGAAAGCCTCTATCGACCCTATCCCTACCAGCATCGACGAGTCCTCCAGCGTGGTGCTCCGCTACCGGACACCCCACTTCCGCGCCTCTGCCCAGGTGGTCATGCCACCCATCCCCAAGAAGGAAACCTGGATAGTTGGCTGGATTCAGGCGTGCAGCCACATGGAGTTCTACAACCAGTATGGGGAGCAGGGCATGTGAGTACTTCTCAGGAGTACTTCTGTGGACTGCTGGGTGGATGGGGCTTTAGAGGTCTGGGTATGGGGGGGACAGGTGGGTTGGAGAGACCATTTAGAGAGGGGCCTCGTCAGGGCCAGGGGCACGCTTTAGGTAGGTATGGAAGTGGCCTCCGAGTCCCCCTTTGGCCAAGTGACTCTGTGGAGGGTTTGCCTGTTGATAAAAATTGAGGTTGTGGCTCTAGGACCTTCTCTCCCACTGTCCCTGGCCCCAGGATTCCTGTGTTCTTTCCTTGCAAAATCCTGAGAAAGCAGAGGAACATTCCACCCTGTGCCTCTTTGGCAAAGCAAGTGTGGTGTCTGCCCACAGAGTGTTGGTGCCATCAGGGGTCACCAGAGAGAGGCCACGGCTCTGCCCTCCAGGCTCAGTCCTCAGGGAGCATGTGGCAGCTACTCAGGAAAGGAGAAAGGGGCCCTGGGAAGCCTCCAGAGTTTTACAGTGCATTGTGTTTGGGCCTAAACTTGGCCCTCTGAAGTTTTACAGTGCCTTGTGGTTGGACCTGAGCTTGGCCCTCCAGTGTTTTTAAATGCACATCAGGACCTGGGGGAATGCTTTGCTGTTACCAAACCGTGTTTTGTTCAAGGGGTTAGTTTTAGAAACCTCATTTGCTTCACAATGTAGAGCTTTTTCTCTCCAAGGCAGAAGGCCACTTTATGCAGACCTCAAATGTCAGCGTCCCAAAGGCCCTAAGTAGGAATAAATAGCTAAGTGGAGCCCACTGGCCTTTTCTCTCTAGCCTGGTCTCCGAAATGTTCCTAGGATACTGTAGGTCTTGATGCAAGACGCTGGGACCCTGGATCTTATTTTCTGGCATATTCCCTGACCCCAGAGATGGCCATCCCGGATGTAGACAGAAGAGAAAGGGATGTGACGTGAAGTGCCACTTTAAGAACACGAAGGAGAGGACAGTTGTTGTTGACAGAGGCTGTGAAAATTACTGTTTCCAAGTACTAGGTCCCTTTTGAGAGAGCTAGGCAGGCCCTGAGGGGCAGCTCCCCTTTGACCCGCCCGCACCATGCGACTAGCCGCCAGCACTGCCCCCAGCCTCTCTCTCAACTTCCACCCTACCAGGCCTCACTTCCTGGTTCTGCAAGTGAGGGCCGAGAGTTTCTCCAGGAGTCGGAACTTTTCACCTATTTAAGAACTTCATGGGCCACCTGTAAATAAGAGGGATTGGGGTGGGGACAGGGGTGGCAGAACCCCAAATCTTTTGGCTTCTCCACTGAATGACTTTGAAGTTAAAAGGCAAACAGGAAAATGACCGTAAAACCTAACATGACAGCGTAACCATGGTGGCCCCAAAGAAGGTGCATGTGGGGTAGCTCTAGACACTCATTGGGTCCACTCTACCAACCTGATTTCTACACCCTAGCCCCTCAGTTCTCAAAAGCAGCTATTAATTCATGTCAGGCTGAGGGCTGACTTTTCATTCCAAGAAGGAATGGAAATTATTCTTAGTTATTCGGTGTGGAGCTTCCTAGGAAGCCTGAAGCCCAGCAGCTGTCTGGGACTTTGCAAGGACAATTGTCAGGAAACAAAGGCTTTTGTAGAAAAACGAAACCTACTTTCTTTCCTAGAAGGGGTAGGGAAGCCAGAGCGCCCTTCTGAATTTGGGAAGATATAACTGCTAGGAAGAAGAAAGCTTGGGGAGAATTAAAGGGACTAGAGGCTAATGAGACAAGATCCGTGCGGCAGAGGTAAAAGGCTGTGTTCAGAATTACACAGCCCAGCTACAGATCTGCTTCTGTCTTAACTGGCTTTGCACCCTGGGGGCCCTCCCGGAGCCTCAGCTTCCCCATCTGTACACAGGGGTTTATAAACATCTTCAGGCACGTAGGCCTTGTTCTCCATTCGGTGGCTCTGTGTACATTTGGGCACCATTGCTGGATCCAGGCATGAGAGTCAGGAGACCTGAGATGACCTTGTCCTTACTGGGCAAACCCTTGGTTCCTGGTTAGACCTAATATATGCTTAGGCTCTGCAGGCAAGCAGGCCTGGGCAGGAGTCCAGGCTTTCTCACTTTCCAGGGGTTTAACTCTAGGCAAATTCAGGAGCGACTCTGAGCCTCAGTCTCCTCGACTGCAGATTGGGGCGAATACTCGTCCTAATCCATGATTTATTGTGATAATTACTCGGGGCAACCCTTGCCAAGCAGTTAGCACTACACTAAGCGTCAGGTAAATAGTTAATATTAAGTGGTTACCATCTTTAATGTTATTATTATGTGATGATTATTCTACCAGATAAGGCATGATCAGTGGTGTCTGTAATGAGCTGGGGATCATGGTTGAAACTACAGCATCGGGACAAATGTAAATTACTCATTGTCATGCATTTTCTCTCCGACCCAGGCCTTCCTCTTTCACACAGGGCCCACTTCCTGACTTTTAAAAATTTCAAAATACTTTACATCATGAAGATTTGAGTTTCAAGTGGTTAAAGGCCATTTTCCTTCTTCTCTATTCTCCCCTGGTGGTTCCCTTTGTTCCCTCCCCAGGACGTGTCTTTCAGCACTGGGGTCCCCTGTGACCTCCCCTCTGCATGGGGCACATCTCATTCTCCCCCGGGGTTTGCTGTAGCCTTGGGATAGGACCAGATCAGGAAGAGGGTAGACTTTGAGGTTCCCTGGAAGGAGTGGCATGGAGCAGTGGTCAGTGGGCTCAGGCTCAGGGGTCAGAGTGATCTACCAATACTGGCTCGGGGGACTTGGCAAGTCACTTCTCAGAGCCTCAGTTGTGTCATCTGTGAAGTGGGAAGGACAGAATTTCCCTGTAGGCGGCTGTGAGGAATCAATAAGAGGACAGGTGTAGGTAGGTGATGATCCCGTGACTGAAATTGTGGCTATTCGATTTCTTATTACTACTCAACAAAATCATATTAAGAAACTGGAGGGTCACATAGCAGCGTCCCTGAGAGGAGAGGCCAGTCCATAAGCAGAGCTCTGCATCCAACCAGCACCGTCTGGAAATGAGCCGAGCTTGTTTAGCCTCAGCCTTCTTATCCTCCTTGCATGTAAATAGAAGTTTCGAGATGTGATCTAAACACTCTTCCCATTTCCCCTACTCCAGACCTCCTGTGATAACTACTGGTTTCTGTGTTTTTTAAGCCCGAGGGCTTGAAAGAAAGTGAAGTGTGGTGAGTTGGTGAGACTGGCCAGTAACCTCCACCAGCCCAGATTTGTCCCTCTGCCATGCCTGAATCAGAGCCACATCATTCTTAGTGGTGGGAGGCTGTCCTGTGCATTGTAGGATGTTTAGCAGCCTCCCTGGCCTTTACCCACTAGATGCCAGTTGCACCTCCCTTCCCCCTAATTGTGATAACCAAAAATGTCTCCAGACATGGCCTAATGTCCCCTGTCAGGGCGACGGGAGAGGAGTGTGATATCGCCCCTGGTTGAGAACCACTGGAGTGTTGTTAGGTGCTGTTGAATAGGTTGCAACTCATAGTGGCCCTATATACAATGGAATGAAACACTGCCCAATCCTGCACCATCCTCACAACTGTTGCTATGTTTGAGCCCATTGTTGTAGCCACTGTGTTAATCCATCTCATTGAGGGTCTTCCTCTTTTTTGTTGACCCTCTACTTTGCCAAGCATGATGTCCTTCTCCAGGGACTGGCTCCTCCTGATAACATGTCCAAAGTATATGAGATGAAGTCTTGCCATCCTTGCTTCTAAGGAGCATTCTGGCTGTATTTCTTCCAAGACAGATTTGTTCATTCTTCTGGCAGTCCATGGTATATTCAATATTCTTTGCAACACTGTAATTCAAAGGCATCAATTCTTTGGTCTTCCTTGTTCATTGCCCAGCTTTCGCATGCATATGAGATGATTGAAAACACCAGGGCTTGGGTCAGGTACACCTTAGTCTTCAAGGTGACACCTTTGCTTTTTAACACTTTAAAGAGGTCTTTTGCAGCAGATTTGCCCAATACAATATGGCATTTGATTTCTTGACTGCTGCTTCCATAGGCGTTGATTGTGGATCCAAGCAAAAATGAAATCCTTGACAACTTTAATACTTTCTCTGTTTATCATGATGTTGCTTATTGGTCCAGATGTGAGGATTTTTGTTTTCTTTATGTTGAGGTGTAATCCATACTGAAGGCTGTGGTCTTGGATCTTCATCAGTAAGTGCTTCAAGTCCTCTTTACTTAGAGCAAGCAAGGTTGTATCATCTGCATATTGCAGATTGTTGGATGAGTATTGCTCCAATTCTGATGCTGCGTTCTTCTTCATATAGTCCAGTTTCTCGGATTATTTGCTCAGCATACAGATTGAATAAGTATGGTGAAAGGATACAACCCTGACGCACACCTTTTCTAATTTTAAACAATGCAGTATTCCCTTGTTCTGTTTGAATGACTGCCTCTTGGTCTATGTACAGGTTCCTCATGGGCACAGCTAAGTGTTCCGGAATTCTCATTCTTTGCAGTGTTATCCATAATTTGTTAAGATCCACACAGTCAAATGCCTTTGCTTAGTCAGTAAAACATAGGCAAACATCTTTCTGGTATTCTCTGCTTTCAGCCAACATCCATCTGACATCAGCAGTGATATCCCTTATTCCACATCCTGTTCTGAATCTGGCTTGAATTTCTGGCAGTTCCCTGTTGATGTACTGTTGCAACCATTTTTTGAATTGTCTTCAGCAAAATTTTACTTGCACAATAGTCCGTTGCTATTCATAAGGTTTTCACTGGCCGATTTGTTTTAGAAGTAGATTGCCTTCTTCCTAGTCTGTCTTAGTCTGGAAGCTCCGCTGAAACCTGTCTACCATGGGTGACCCTGCTGGTATTTGAAATACTGGTGGTATAGCTTCCAGCATCACAGCAACACGCAAGCCACCACAGTATGACAAACTGACAGATGAGTGGGGATCCATTGGACTAGCCCCAGACAATTTGAAGCATTAAAGTTAAACCCACGCACTAAGCTGTAGTAGCCTGGGGGTGGAGAG